CATCTCCCTCCTCCTCTTCCTCCTCCTCCTCCGTCTCCTCCCATTCCTGTTCCTCCTCGCCCTTCCACGCCTTCGTCACCTCGTCTCCGCTTACTTCTCCCCTTCCTTCTCCTGTCGCTTCTTCGCTTCCTTCCGCCGTCAAGGCACTTCATTCCAACAGCAATTCCGCCCAGGCGGTATACGCGCCGTGGGACTCGCCGCGAAACGCGCACCACAAGTCCGCGCGCGCGTCCATCTTTCCGTACAGCCGTAGCGATCCGTCAGGCAGCAATGCCGATGTTGCTGCTCAAGCTGCCGCCGCTGCTTCCCCTGCCGCCGTTGCCGCCGCCGCTGTTTCCGCTGCTGCTGCTGCTGCTGCTGCGCGGGGAGTCACTTCGGCATGCTCCGCGTCGCCGCCAGCGGGCGCATGCACTGACGCGAGAGCTTCGCGGGCGGCCCTTCTCGCGCCAGCGATCCCGCGGCCCCAGATCGCGATTCCACGCGCTTACTCCGCTACGGAGATTTCTCCGCGCTCCTGTCATTCCGCCGCGGGAAAGGTCTCTGGCGAGTGCGCAGCAGCCGTTTCCCCGCAGGGCGTGGGTAATGACGGGGATGAATTCGAGAAGCAAATATATCCGAGCCTGTTTGGTGGGGCTCCCGAGCCTGAGGTTCGGCTCGCGGATTTTGGCATGGCGTGTGAGGTGCCTCCAGGCTCGGCAATCATGGGCCTGGCTGGCAGTGAACCGTACGAGGCTCCTGAAATGGTGGAGATGAAACGTTACGACCATCAAGCAGATGTGTGGTCCCTGGGGGTTCTCCTGCACACCCTCCTCTCTGCCACGTGGCCAGAATTCCCGGATGGAAAGCGTGAGCTTGTGCAGGAGGATTTGACGGTGCGCCCGTGGCCGTCGATTTCGGAAGACGCGAAGGATCTGATCCGTCGGATGCTGGTGGTTGATCCAAATGAACGGCTGGATATTCACTGCGTGCTTCAGCACCCGTGGTTGGTGAAATGGATGAGGAGGCAGAGAGGGCGGCCGCAGAGGGGAAATCGATATGCTCCAGAATCGCTTGAGCTGCAGGGGCAAGGGCATGTGAAGGAGCAGCTTCCGCAACAAGTGCAGCATCAGCAGCAGCAGCGGCAACACCTGCAGCAGCAGCAGCGACAACACCTGCAGCAGCAGCACCTGCAGCAGCAGCAGCAGCAGCAGCAGCAGGAGGAGCAGAAACTGACAGACTGTAAAGTTAATGAACTGCCAGTTACAGCAACTGGGCCGGCAAGAAAGCAGCGCAGCAGTCGCACCAGCTCCTCGCTGGCTATTCACAGAGCTAACTCCAGTGATAACATCCTTGCGAGTAACATAGCCACATCTAACACTTCTGCTCATTGCATTCTACCTGTTTCGGCCACTGCATCAGAAGGCCCTGGAACGGCGACTGGGCCAACAGCAGAGCAGCACAGCCAGCGGCAACCAAGCCAGCTGAGAGACGCGCGTGGCTTGCCCCCTCTGCCGCCTGTGATCCATCCTGTTCGAAAACATGAGTCTTATTCTCAGCGCCCACCACTACCACTAAAGCTGCCTCGGCCACCAATGCTAACTGTGCAGCCATAGCCAGGTGAACGGAATAAAGATTAGGGGTCTTGATTGGTCGAGTGACTGGCAAACAGCCAGAATATTACGTTCTATCTTGTGGAAAGGTTAGGTACGTGCTATGGTTATAAAGTACCGCAATGCTTCGAGTAAATGTTGCACTTGTTTGCCAGCTGTTAAAGCCAGCAGCTAAAATAGTGACCCCCCCCCTTCTAGTGGATCCACTTGAAATCTCAAACTAACTATTTAATGCTTTTGACGGTTGAAGCGTTGTTCTGTTTTGTTTTTCAGACGCGTTCAAGTCTTCACAGTGATTTTCACAAAAAATGTCGCAAGCATGTGCAAATGCGACGTGCGATTCCCGATTACACGAGGGGGGCAATTTCAACAGGTTTTGCATGTGCGATTCACGCACAACAAACGCCTCAGACATGGACCTGCTGGAGCGGCACAAACAGCGTAGGAAAAGCAGAAATGCATAAAAAACAGAGAAGTTTTATGTTAGGAATAAAAAAACGAAGAACGAGAAGGAAACGACAACGCACGTAGAGAGCTGATTGAGCGAAAATTGTGGAATGGTAGGGTGTGGGGAGATGGGAGGGGAGAAATGAAGGGTGACTTGCAGGCATTTCGGGGCGAGCGCGAAGGTGCCGAGATGGGTGATGGGAGGGGAGAAACGAAGGGCGACGGGCAGGCATTTCGGGGCGAGCGCCAGGGCGCCGAGGTGGGTGACGGGAGGGGAGAGAGGAAGGGCGATGACTGTTTCGAGGGAGAGAGGATAGGCGACGGGAGAGATAAAGGGCGACGGGAGAGAGGATAGGCGACGGGAGAAAGGAAGGGCGACGGGAGAGAGGATCGGCGACGGGAGAGATAAAGGGCGACGGGAGGGAGGGCAACGGGAAAGAGAAAGGGCGACGTGACAGAGAAAGGGCGACGGGAGAGAGCAAGGGCGACGGGAGAGAGAAAGGGCGACGTGACAGAGAAAGGGCGACGGGAGAGAGAAAGGGCGACGGGGGAGAGAAAGGGCGACGGGGGAGAGAAAGGGCGACGGGGGAGAGGATAGGCGAGGGGAGATAGGAAGGGCGGAGGGAGGGGCGACGGGATGGGCGACGGGAAGGGCGACGGGATCGACGACGGGATGGGCGACGGGATGGGCGACGAGATGGGCGATGGTATGGGCGACGGGATGGACGATGGGATGGGCGATGAGAAGGCAGCGGGACGAGCCACGGAAGGGCGGCGACAATCGCGTGGGTAAGGGAGGCGAGAGGAGATCGCGTGGGCGACGGGACGGAAAAACGCGGGCGCAAAGGGACAGACTGAAAAGCTTACACTCATAGCTTTCGGATACAACACGACGGACATTCTGATTAATACATGTGTAGATAACGAGGGCCTAAGTTGAGACATAGCCTATGCCTAGTCTAGCTACTTAGAACTTCCGACGCAAAATTGGTAGAGTAGTTCACCCCATCCCAACTTGAAACATCAGTTGGGCCCAAATCGCTTGGACAGACTGAAACGATCGCCTGTGCAATTGTCGTGCGGGCTTAGCAATGAGAAGTGCGACGCCACACATCAGGAAAATGTCTCAATTTTGGCGGGAACCAATCAAAGGTGTTCGATTTGCACGTCCGCAGCGTTTGAAACGGTACAAACTTCTCAGTCCGTCTAAACTTTGTTTCGCCCGGCAAACTCGTCCCTGCGCCCTTTCAAGTTGGGTATGGGTTCACTATATTGCATCTCGGTACCAATCAGCGTTTAGCGCTAAAATATATTCATGAATAAAAAAGAATATTTCACTTAGGTGGTCTTGTCAACACTAGCTAACGTCAAGAAATAGCATTCTTCTATGTTTTGCATATGGGATTGTTGGTGGATGGAACACTAGAGCATTGTAGTCGTTATTAGATTGAAATTTGGCTGCTACACGTTATCTTCTTGAAAGGAATGATAATTTTGTCTTGAATATGTGTCGCCATTGGCGCCAGCGAGTGATATCGACGTCACCTTGGGCAGTCCTGGCGTGGCGGCGGTGCCACTTGGCTCTCCCACAGGTCTTTTCAGTCTGACACCAGCAGTGCTTTGTCATGAAAGAAACCTCTGTTGCACCAATGACCTGCGAATCGGCTCCAGACAGGATCCAAAACGCGTCTTTGCGACCACCAGGTGTACATGCGACACGATATCCTATCTGACAAATAGCGATGCGACGCCAGGGTGCTCATGAGATGTCAGTGATTTAGGAATATCTGGGGGGAGTGTTCGCTTCAGCAGGTGAACATTTGAACCCTCGAGATTTGGCAAATGTATACCGAAGTCATCGAATGTGCTTCCGCCAATTCGTTTCCCCCCTCCCCATACCTATTCCGCTCCCACCGAAATTGTTTCCCCTTCCCCCACAATATCGTCTCACCCCCTTTCCCCTTTCCGCCAACCCAGTTGCCCTCCCCTTGATCCCCAATTTCTAGATCCAAGTGTTATCAATTTCTCCCCTGCCAAGCCTCATCTCTCACGGACGAAAAGCCCCATGCTCGCCCATTCTCAACTATTTATTCGCTACTCGTCAACCAATCATCAGTTCCCGCAAACATGCCGCCCAAAATTTAGCCTGGAGTCGCGTTGAATGTGTACCCTGGTTTTAAGTGTCCCTCTCCCACCTCGCTGTTTCGTTAGGATCGTGTGCGAGCGCGCATGCGAAATCCAGGGGAAACTGAGTTTCGCTTAGCTCTGAATGCGAGCCAACCGTGGGCCCAAAAAGAGAAGCTCGCAATAATGGCGGCAACGAGGTTACTGTACCCGCTTTCCCCCTCTGTTGACACAGCATAGCTCCCTCTCTCGCCTCCTCTCGGACTTCCCTTTCCTTCACCTCACCTCTTCTCTTCCCTCAGCTACGACTCTTCCGCCCACTCTTCCCCCACATGCTCTCCTCTCCACTCTCCTATAGGCTTGGCATTGTTGCAAGCTAAAGCAAGGCGAGGCTTTACAACGCTTACTGTTTGCGACCAGCCTCGTTAGGTTGTCGCTTTCACTAACCAGCAGCAACCTGTTCCCCTGACCGCCCAACCTTCCAACTTTCTGTGCACGGTTCCACATCGGTCTAACTATCCTTTCTACCTAGCAGATTGTTGACGTGCAAACCGCTCCCTAGCGCTTCGGTACGTCCGGCTCAGGAATATAAAACATCTAGTTTCCATAGCTTTATTTAACTATTTAAGACAGTCCGACCTCTGAAAAAACTTATCTCGTGTCGCAATGGGTATCTTTCAGTGGTGGGAGCGGCCGACGGATTTTCCGCGCGTTATAAGCTGGGCGGCCAAATTCCCAAGGGACCGATATTCTTTAGGTGACGTCGTCGCCAACGGATCCAGCGGCGCCGTCTTAGAATGCACAGACAAGGAGACCGGCCAAGGGTTGGCCTGCAAAGTGATGCTCAAGAACGCGCTACGAACAGAAGCCGACAAAAACGGCCTGCGGCGCCGGCTGGAGATCATGAAGCAGGCCGGCGCGCACCTGAACGTGGTGTCGCTCGTGGGCGTGTTTGAGGACACGTGTGCAATCTACGTGGTCATGGAGCGCTGCTTAGGTGGCGACTTGCTGGAGTACATCAGCAAAATGGGCGCGATTCCCGAGCCGCAGGCGGCTATTATGTTTCGGCAGCTCGCATCAGCCGTCGCCTTCTGTCACGACTATGGGATCCTACATCGAAACTTAAAGCCCGAGAACGTGTTTCTCACATATGGGACGGCGGACGACCTAAACTACGCGTCGCCCGCGCTCTCCTCCTGTAGCTCCTTCTCCTCCTCCTCCTCTTTCTCCATCTTCTCCCCGTCACTCTCCGCATTCTCTACCCCGCAAAGCTCCCCCGCGCGGCATGCAAGCGCTTCCGCCTCCCCCTCCCCCTCGTTCAATCCCCCGTCCCCCTCTCCTTTCAGCAGAAGCTCCGCTGCTTCCCCCGCCCCATCCAGCTCGCCCTCCCCCGTTGGCTCTTCCCCCAGTCTTCCCCTCACTTCCCCCTCGCCGTCCGCAGCACCTTCCGCCTCGCGCGCCCAGAACCCAGATTCCGGAACGCTTTCTGAATCCAACTCCGAGCCCCCCGATTCCTCCGCCTCTCCCGCCTCTGCCCCCGCCTCCGCCTCCGGCGCCGCTGGCGCCGCCGCTGCTGCAGGACCAGAAGCAGTACCTGCAGACGACGTTCCCGACGCAACCCCAGCCTTTTTCGCGTTCAACTTTCAGGGCCCCTTCGTGCGACTGAACGACTTCACTCTGGCGACGCGCCGTCGCAGAGGGTCGTACGTGAGCGGCGCGGTGGGAAGCCTGCCGTACAAATCGCCAGAGATGATTATGAAGGGTCGTTCCAACGAGAAGGCGGACATTTGGAGCCTGGGAGTCATTCTCTACTCCATGCTCTCGGCTCGGTGGCCTTTTTATTCGCCTAAGAAAGCGGTTCTTGAGCGGAAGATCCTGAATGGCCACGTTGACTTTTCCGGTGATCCCTGGCCGTCGATCTCAGATGACGCAAAGGATCTCGTTCGTCGGATGCTGGCTGTCAATCCGAACGAACGGCCGTCCGCTACGGAGCTGCTAAAGCATCCATGGGTGGTGAAGTTTCTTCTAGCGGAATCCCAAGGGGGGAGCTCGGGCGCTGATTCTGGCGCAGCAGGCACAGGTGTTAGGGGAAGTGGGGGGGTGGCGGTGGCGCAGCAAGTGAAGAACGGGAAGTTATCCGGAAGGGAGGTTACTGAAGAGGGATGGCACTGCAACGATAAGATGGGTGTATGCGATCTACACTTACAGGTGGCGAACAATTGCTGGATTATGCTCTCCAAGATGATGCCGAAGATGACCTGGTGATGATGACTAGGGTATGGGTCATCGATGGGCTAAAGAAGCTGCACCCTCAGCAATGGAGGTGCTTATGATGAGATCCGTGTGCAGCACTCCCAACTCAGTTATCCTACCATATTACGTTAGCAGATGCCTGCCAAACCTTGTACATCCACAAGCAAACCCTCAGGCCTGAAGTTCCATTGGTTCATTTTTGCCTCCCAGCATGCTTCTTGTAGGCTAGTAGCAAGGCACTTACTATGTACCATGTGTATGTTCATTGTTTGTACCATAGCCTTATCATCACGTCCTTCCAATGAGGTTTCTCAGAAAATGGGAGTAGCATTTGTTAGTGCTGGATTTGGAAGAACACAGAGTAAGAACCCATTGCACTACCGTATTTTCCTAAACCCCCCTTGCAAACTAATTGGTATTAGTACGGTATAAGCAGCCTTCATAATCCTAGGGTAAGGAGAGCCTATCAACCATACATTTACAACCGATCAACCCCCTGCCCACTTCATCAAAGGGTCTCACTCTTCTCCAGCTTTGGCGTCCCACAAGACGTGCCCAGCACCTGCTCCCGCTTCTCATTCAGTGACTCGCTGTTGGCCCGTGTAAGATCCAGCGTCACCGATTTAAGCTTGCTCTTACCCCGCCGCTCCTGCACCGTTTTCCCTCCTTCCCCCATTCCCTCTACCCCGCTTCCTACACTGCTAGACCGACTGAAAGCGCCGCCGCTGAAATCGCTACAGCTGCTGGGTCCCTCCCACCCTTCTGAAAAGCTGTCAGCATAGGAACTCTCGTCTCGCCGGGCTCTATCTGCTGATAAAGCACCTGTTGATTCTGAATCGTAGCCCAAGCTCCCTGCCGAGCTGGATGACCGTGTACGGATAAGAGCGGCTCCAGATTCGCTCTTCAATCTTTTGTCCCGGATGTTTAAAAAATCTGGGTCAGGGTCATCGAATTCTATTTCGTTGGAAAATGATGAAGGTTTAGAAACCCTAGTCTTCACAGTCAGTCTCGAAAACTTCTCGTCTAGGTCCGCGAAGTGAACTTGTCGGGATTTTCGTGGAGCACAATGGTTGCAGAGAAGAGGCGATCCGGAAACTTGAGAAATGCGCCGCGGAACAATAGTAGGCGAATCGGACGGCGATGAAGCACCAATAGCTTGCTGTTCCTCCCCTCGGCTCATTCCTCGCTCAGATGGTGAGTTGTTGTTGTCGTCATCGTCATCGTCGTCATCATCACGCTCTCGTAGATCGAATTTAAAATGTTTCGGAGCGGGAAGAGATTTTGCGGAACGGAGTGACGAGGTCGGAAGCTTGCATGAACAAACGGCGCAGCGACGTTCGCCAGGGGTTGATGACGATGGAAGAGAGTTATTCGCTGATGGTTGTGAAGGGCTGTCAGCAGGTGCCTCTGGATCGATGTAGAGGCTCGTCGGGGGATCATCCCCGGAAGAATTTCCCATCGTCCTCGATGTGGAGACCTACCCGTTTCGCCAGTACAGTCTCCTGCTTATCGCGGCGCACGCTTCTCCAGCGTCAATGTGCTACGTTGCTTCGGCTGCGGTAACGAATGAGTCAAAACAAGCCGGAGTACTCGTGATGCAACGGACTTGCGTTAGGAGCTACACTGGCACAAACGATGCGGACTCTAGGAGTGACGGAAGTCTCGCCCGTTTACTTGAGACAAACGAGATCATTGAGACAAAGAAATGGCGCTACACCTGGTCTCAGGGAGGGAATAGAAAGCTGGAAACATGGAGGACGAGGGGTTGGAACTTGGAAGGTGAGGCTGGTGGTTGTGGAAGAAGGGGGTGGAATTGTGGGGTTCAAGTGGGGGAGGAACAGAACTGAACTGTACCTCGGAGGGGGGTCGGTTCGGCACTGGTGGTTTCGAGTTGAAATCTTGGTGTAGTGCTGGTGAACGCAAGGGCCCCCAGGGTCGATGGCCTTCATGATATCATCATTCATCCAGCGAAGTCGGGCAACGCGCAAGAACGTACAGTAACATGTTTTCGTGAACCGTCGCATGCATGTGGATTCCTCCAGGTGGCACTTCGGCTTTGGTTCCTCTCGCAGGCCGGTTTCTGGGTGGGCGAAAATCTATGGGACGACAAGCAGGGTCATTCCGTAAACGTACATCGAGGCTGGTTTAGGGTCATCACTCAGTACTTTCTTGAAAGACGAGAAGAGTTGGTCAAATTAGGCCTAGTCCCTGGACAAGTGGTTAAATCTTACGGGGTCTCATTAAGTAATGCTACAAACGGCGCCCTGAAATTCCCCGAAGGCTGGAACCGCCTAACGCACCCAACATCACGAATGGGTTTTTTGTGAAACAAACCTGTATTTGCAGAACCATCAGGGTCAAAACACCTTGTAGGTTTCCCAAGAGAGTCTCGAAACTCCCAAAAATGCTATACCGTGCTGCCGTGGCGACACGTCATTGCTCATCTGTTTGCTGTCAATGGGGTACGGCAGCGTGGCGCGTGAGGCCCGCAAGCAGCATTTGTGAAATCTGTTAGGCCAATCAAATCGAGTTCTTCTTGCGCCACCACTTTTTTCCTCCGTTCCCCTGGATCACCCGTCCTACTTGCGCGCACTTTTTTTTGCCTAACACGTTCCGCCAGCTGCAGGCAGGACAAGTGCCCCCTCCCGCATTGCTCTTTGCAGCAGCACCTCCTTGCTGCCATCACCCCCCCACACCCACTTTCTGATGCTCCGCGGCTCCACCCCTACCCCCACCCCTCTCCCCCCCCCTTCAAACTTCCTCCCGGCGTTCCCCATATCCCGCATGTCCGCATTTGTGTTGTACATCGCACACCAACACACACTCCATCCCTCTCCCTTTCACTCCGCCCACTCCGCCAGCCTTAGCTTCCTTCCATCCCACTCCCCCTCCCCCTCCACCCCAAGGTCTGTTCCCACCCTCCAATTCAGGGGTGCTAGGAAGACCACTTCACTGCCAGCCTGCTAGCTTCTCCGTGCACACGAAACCCTACTCCAGAATGACAGCCAATCAGCAAATTAGACAGCATCTAGTGCCCAAGTTGTGAAGTATTCAGATGCATTTGTAGGGTTTAGTATCTTCAATGGGCCGAAGATTTCCACGTGTCCACTGAGCTGAGGTGATATCAATGGCATCTTCCTTAGAGAGGCAGAAAGGAAAAGGCAAGGCGACACCAGAAGATGGCACAACGTTGTCAGCTCCTAGCAGGAAACGAGTGCGGTTCGCAGGCGCGGGAGCAGAGGCATCAGTAGATGATTCCTTTGCTCCAGGATCAGGCCTTTCTTTCACCTCCGGCCGAGTTTGTTCATTGGCGAACCGAGGTCGTGTGCACGCTGGCGCACCCACTAGTTCGGGGAGAATCGCGGCGACAGCTTTTCCTGATCATGCAAGCGGTGTAGGAGATGCTAATAGGCCTGACGGTGTGGGAAAAAGCTTGTTGGAAGATAGATCTTCGGATAAGCAGATGTCTTCGGATGACCTTTCAAGAAGGATCGCGGTTTTTGACCACATTGCGTCTGCCATGCCGACGGACGCGACTACTTCTGACTTCGAAAACTGCACTGCCGTACCAGCATCTGATCACGAGCGAGGCTCCCCGTCGCAATCCCTTGAAGATTCTGACCCTCCTTCATCTATATCTTTCGAAGCGTCTGTTTCTGCAAATCAGGACTCATCTGATGTGAGCCATGGCCTCGCGATACAGCTGCCGAATGATCAGACGGACCTCAGATGGGGCCAGGACAACGCAACTTGTGCCAGCAGCGCCAACGACGGAATAATCAGTCCTGACAATGGAGATAGCAGAGGAGGTGATGGTGATGAGAAGCCGCATGAGGCGCGGAGTGTGTCTATGAATGAGAGCTTGATGCAGCAGATGGAGGATTTGATATCCATGGTGCCCAGGCTGCAACTGGAAAGGAGTCGGAGCGAGATGGAGATTATTATGAAGCGGAAACATGTACTAGGTTCGTTCTTGGGTACGCCTAAGTCGGGCAAGTCGCCGCAGATTATCCTTCCCAGGACTCGAAGTTTCTAGATCCCGCATCAGCATGCACTGCTTTTTAACAGGTGCAAACTAGGATTTTGATGCAGCGTCTACACAGATGTATTCCTTTTGTACCTTATGGTTTGAGGCCCATTTGGTTCCAGAGGTTGTGTTTAGCTTCTGGTTTGAGGTAATGCTAGTGCTCAGGAGCTGAAGTATCCAACTAACAGCTTCAATCTATTAGGGCATCATTATTTGGCTGAAGGGGAGAAGGGCTGTTTGTTATTGGCACTTCTGGTGCACATAGCTAGCATCTAGTGCTGAACATCTGTGTGATAGGTGTGGGATGCTGCGTTCTTAGGATGCGCATGTCTAGATTGCATTACGCCCAGCCAGAAATCAATTGGTGTCATTTTTATACATGGTGGGGCGGTTGTGGTGTCTGCATATGATACTAGCAACCGGAAGAAGTTGCTCTAGGAATCCAGTTACCATAGGTGTGCTTCCCCCAATACCGTAGTAGATATATGGTGGTGGATATATGTTGAAGTTCACAGTTTATGCGAAAATTGAAGTATACGGTATGTGCTTCTCTACTGTATATCATGTCATGAGCACGAGTTTTCCAGAAATGAGTGCTGCAAACATCAATCTGGCCGTTTATTCAGGTGCTTGGTTGCCTCTTGTATTGGACAACCCACGGATGCTTCAGCACCTCTTCAGCAGACGGCCTCTGACTAGGTTCCACAGCCAGTAGCATTGTAACCAGGTCCTTGGCTTCTGATGACACTCCCTCCCAAGCACTTGTATCCATCTTTCCCACACCTTTCTTCGCCAGACGCGCCTGAGACCGCCGAGAGTCAGCCATGAATGGAAGTGAGCCCAAAAGGAGGGAGAAAAGAATAACCCCAAGCGACCATATGTCGGCTTTGAACCCATATTTACACTGCTGGAGGACTTCTGGTGCTTGGTAAAGCCTGCTGCCAGCAACACCTGACGCGAGCTCTCCAGGGGAGAGCGAGACTGCAGAGCCAAAATCCGCAAGCTTGACGAGTGGAAAGCAGCAGAATTTGCTGGAGATTCTGTCTTTAGAAGATTCTGGAAAACACAGCAATATATTCTCAAGCTTGAGGTCGCGGTGTAGAACCCCATTCAAGTGACACACCAATACCGCGTGTACAATCTGCTCAAAAATTGCTGCTGCCTGTTCCTCCTCCATCCCTCCGCAATCTCGGGGTGAACTCAGAGATTCTCTTTCCCCGAACGTTCCTCCCAGCTCGCCGTCTTCAGAGGACGAGTATGACGATAAGCTGTGAGCATCGTTATCTCTGAAGTAACCTGAATGGTCTGCGCCCTGATTTGCGCGGCCGCCAGCAGTGGTTTCGCACAACAGGTCGTACAGCTAGCCGCCGTTACACTTCTCCATAACGACAAAAATCGCCACCCTGTCCTCGTATACGTCCACGAGGGAGACCACGTGTGGATGGCCGGCGAGCTGTTGGAGAATCTTCACTTCTCGCCGGATAGCCGCCTCTTCCGCACGACGGTTGCGCATTTCATCTTTCCGTATCACCTTGCAAGCGTACGCACGACCGGTGCGGCGGCTGACACACTCCCGCACAACTCCGTAGCTCCCCCGGCCAAGAAATCTCCCGAGAGAATAAGCTGCGGAGAACTCGCGTGCGCCTTTGGGGCTCACGACGCGCGCGGCGACTTGTGGGGAGCGGGAAACGGAACCCGTGGAATCCCCGCGCCTTCTGTGCCGCTGCGCTCTGCAGTGGGGGGAGAGGAGCTTCC